CGAGAAAATGTTGGCTGAATAAATTCACTCTTCCCTGATAAACCTTAATTGCAGGGACGTTAGTTAGTCGAAACATTTAATAGTAAGATAACTAGTAATATGACACGCTTTTAGTATACACAGTGACACATGTAAAAAATAATGTAGATTTCATAAAAGAGAGAACAAACTCACCAAGTATGTTAACATTTCTCTGGTCTAAGGGGAGAAAATGTCATTCCTAAGTTGATTTACTAGTTTTCATTTAAATAAGTGGAAATGTTTGCTTTTCAATATCTATATCTATACTTATATTAAAAGGTATACTATTTACTAGATTTAGTATAAAGAAAAGTCAACAACATTTATTGCATTACTATTTCTGTATTATATAATCTATACTTATATAAAAGGAGATTCTATTTACTACATTTACTATCCAGAAAAGTCAACTGCATTAAATGCCATTACTATTTTAGTATTATAATATTTTATTTATTTAATTGATTTATTTAATTATTTTATTTTAAAAAGGTAAGTATAATAAAAAGATTTTAATAATAAAAAAATCAAATACCAAATAAAAATGTACACTTTGACAAATAAAACAAATCTATACACTTATAACAATTCTACTACACTATTTAACAATATTTTTTTTATTATATAATAAAATAATAATTAAATATTCTATGGTGAACAACAATAAGTAAAACTGTTACTTTCTCTTATATCAAGGGATAAATTTATATGCTAAAATTAAATTTTTATTAGTATAAATGTTTTAGTAAGATAATATATTAATTATTTTACAAGCTAGCCCTAACAATGCTCATATTTAATGTTTTAAAAGATGTAGAAAAAAAACTTATAATAACTCTATTGTTTTTTAGACTTAAACGTTGATTAAAAGAGGTAAAAACTCCTAATTTTTTAGACTCAAACGTTGATTAACACCATAGATTGAGAGTTTATATTTAGTAAAATTCATTATAAAAAAAAAAAGAAAAAAAACTACAATGAAAAAAGCAAGTCAGCTATATATCGATTTGTTGTACTCCTCAAATCACATTCACAATTTGGCTACAAGGCAAGGAAACTCATTGATTAAAATATTATTTTATCAGTAGTCTTAATGTACAAGAGACTTGAATATTATAAAACTTTTATTGAACATTTTACAATTTTCTTGCGTATTATAAACTTTTATTGAATATTACATCTTATAATATAATATTCTCTAAATAAATATATCTCGTGCTTCGCACGGGTCACGTACTATATATATCTCGTACATTTTTTTTATTCATGTATATAATTATAAGCCTAAATAAATAGCCTTAAAATTGTGCACCTCGTGCATCGCACGGGCTCTGTACTAGTACTTAATTAACTGGTATTAGTTAAAAATCAACCTTATTAAAAATACACTTTAGTTCCAAGGTTATTTGCTGTTCTCACTTTAGCTTTTTACATACGTTGTGATAGTGTTGATGTTTCGATTACCTTTTACCTATGAATACCTCAGCCCATGTATTTTGTTGAAGACATTTTTAGCTACTATTCTAAAATGAAATGACCATTTCGCATTTGTATATGACCATCTTCCATTAGGAAATGGATGAAAAATGTTGTCTGTTAACGTGCTAAAGATATCATCTTCAAAAAAATGGCTAGAAAGTCTAGCAACCATATTGAATGTTCAAATAAATTTTTCGGAAGCAAAAATGGGGGTTCTTGT